TTTTACTCCTTTGCTATTGTTTCACTACTTTTGCATTAACCTATCATTTGATTTGAATTTCTTCTCATAACTCATTGCTTTCGTTGTATCTTTAAGCTCCTATAGCCGTATAATAGCCACTTGATTTAAATATTTCTGGTTATTTTATGAATATACCATGCTAGGCCCGAACTTCTATACTGTTAGTAGTTAATTTCACAAACTTTTGTATTATTTCATTTCTTTTTGTTCACTATCTCAATTGATAAGCTAGTGACGTACGGCTATGGCTAATTTTAATTTATTTCTAGCTTCCTCTCACCCCTCACATGCCTTCTAGCTGCGGTTATTATCACGCTCCCACCTTTATCTATCTATATATATCTTTCCTATTAGCTAGTCTTAGACCCTTGAAGTGATAAAACACCTTCAACACAAACACCACACAGACAGTCAGTCATTGAACGGATATCCGCTTCTGACTTACATTTTCGTTTGGATGAGCATGTCCAGCACCGCAAAAGAAGACAAATTCACTGACTCACCACGAATATAAAAATCACTGAATCACTGAAATTTGTATCGCCGAAATTCTCCAAGCGAGTCCATCAGCAAATTGGCTTCATCCATCCGATACCTCATTCTACTCATTATTACTTTGCATGGCTTCTTATTTATGATTTCGTTTAATCTCTGAGTTATCTTTCTTTACTAATCGATACTTGTGAAAGACGAGCAAACCAGTTGTGTTATTTTGAAAATCCCATAATCCCAAAATCCCAAATTCCCATCCACCCGTTGTGTAAATATATGGCAAAACTTGAAAGAACAAAAATTTGAAAAATTCGAAACTACCCAAGAAAACGAAAAGAAAAAAGCAACCAAAAACAAATCCTTTCTCTCTTTCTCTCTCTCTCTCTCTCTCTCTGTGTATGTGTTATTGTTACAGCCAAAGCGATGAGCAATCCTCCTCCACCAATACTACCACTACTACTGATCATACTAATCAAGTATCCGCCACCGGTTCCGATCCTAACTCCGATCCAAAGTCGCAACCCTGGCTGAGTCGCATGTTCGCCGCCTCGAACTCGAACGGCGGCGATCCTAAGGATCCGGCGGTGACCCTAGGCGGTGACTTTAATGCCGCCAAGCACTTTGATTTAAAGAACGTACGACACGATTTCAATAGGCCCGCGGGCATCGCTGCCGCTCCGGGCGCACGTATAGCGAAATCCGGACGGAAAATTAGGTGAGAGGGCAGGGCCAGAAGCTCAGCTCCGCTACGATGCGCGCGATCAATGAACTCTATATATCTACAATTAATATATCTAATCAACCTATCTACTACTACTACTACTACTACCCACTACTATCTGCAATATAACTATCCTACCAACCGGAAATTAACTCTCAGTTCCGTTAACTCCTCATTTGTCCCCTTTGTTTCCTTTTTATTCGTTTCCTCGATTGCGATTCTGATTCTGATTTCTGTTGTTTGGCATGATGTTTGTTCCATGGTCTAGCGCCTCATGGTTCCCCGATAAGAAAACAATACACTAAACCCTACTACTCTTAACTCCAGCTATCAGCTATCTAACCCTCTAACCCTAGAGCACTTTTACTTACTTTTCAGCCCAAAGTTTTTGTTTGCACCTCGCGCGTTTCGAAAGTTTTGCATTTGTTTTTGATACGATTCCCCTATTTTGTTGGTTGTTTGTTCGCAAGTCCCTGTCGTAAAAAAAAGAGATAACCACAGTTAACCCCGACATCCGTACTGCTTCATTGTAATCCTGATCGTCCTGTCGCCTGTTTTTGAATCTGTATGTTTGTCCAAAGTATTGTTCATATACCACGCAAACGTACTACAAAACAGTTCTTAGCGCTTATAGGCAGACATCTCATACTTATATCATCCTAATATAGGCAATTTGCTGTTCAACGAAGCTTGAGAATTTTTGATAACAATCCAAATGATTCTACATTGGAGAGTCCACTTCTTATGGGTCCATTTCAATGTTTGGGTTCGGTGTGGTTTCCCTTTGCACTCCACTCTCGACTTAAGATCTCTTTCCATTTTAATCCATTTATATTTAATACCCTGCGCCTGCTTAATCCTCATTTCATTGAACATTTGCCATAACTGTGCTAAAACCAAACCAGAGCAACTAGACTAAAGTTTAGTGCACGTGTCTAACCAAAGAAATCGATTACCGAATGTTGTGTGAACTCACCGCCCGCTATCTCAAGTACGCCCAGCTAATCCTTAATTTTTTGCACTTTCCACAGCTACGTTGGTCGCGCCTGCGGAGCTTCCACCGCCACCGGATCCAAGGCCCAGCACATCCGTGAGCTGAATGCGCTGCTCAACGATGCGATTTCGACCTAAGGAGGTGTAGACTCGATGGTGAAGAGAAGGATTGGAGACGATGAATATTAATTATGATTATATTTTGTATTGAAACGTATGCAGACTCTTTGATACGATTTTTTGCTGACGAAATTGTTAAGAGCATTGTGTGAAAGTAATGAAATGTTAAATATTAGTTTAGTGAAATTACAAGAGCAAACGGCAACCAAGTAACAAATAACAAATAACACGAAATGTTTAGTGTTTAGTAAACAATCAAACCAAGAAACAAAACAAAAACAAAAATACAACCACTCACAGCAAGTCTTTAATGCAAACTTTAGAGTCAAGATCTAGTAAATAGCAAAATCTATGCGCATATATATATATTTGGAGTGCTGAGAGCCCGCATAGAAGGATCACTAACTTTCAGAATGAATAAAACCCTTTCTAATTTTATTTCCTATTCATATGTTTAATATTTATTTTATTGTATTATAATATAATTAAACTATCTCAAGCCAAGCGAAAGGGCTCTGCAGGCCACTATTTTGACACCTTCGATCGTTCGCTGGCCAAGAAATCATTTAGTGTTTTTGTTTGCCTAAGTTACACATTTTTGTTTAAATAAATGAACAAGTATAATACTTAACAATGACAAACCAACAGAGCTGTGCTTTAGTTCATCGCCGATTGAGGAGGCACTATCAGGGATATAGATCGCGTTTTGTATACGCCCAAGAAATCGAACTGGAATGCTTTGATTACGATTCTCAACAACTTGTGTTTGGAATTAAGCAAAGCGTTTTTAACTTATTTTGAAGACTCTTTATGGAGCGCATCTAAATGCAGATTAAACGCTTTAATTGTTTTTGATCCACGGACGGAGTCCGATCAGGACCCTCTCAAAATATTTACAAAACAAAATATATATATATTTAAAATTAATATCGCACTTTGTCTCGCACCAATATAAAATATTGAACTGTAGAGTGATAAAACTAAAGAAAAGGCAGGCAGTTATGCAAATTTTCGAAGTAAAACAAAAAGAAACGTAACTATTTTACAAACAAAAAGAGAGAACATTACGAGAGAGTATGTGTGTGCGACATTGTCGAAAATTTAACTTTAACTCTAAATTTTAAAGTTACTAACAAAAAATAAATCACAACTTTGCACCAAGTAAGTAAGTAGCATGTTAAAATCAAATATTACGCATGGCAAAGAGTTTTCAAGAGCCCTGATAAGAAAAGAGTTTGAAATGAATGTAAAATGTGGAAATAAACACGATTGGAAAGCAAATATACAATTTACTATATAAAGCATGGTACACAACGTCTTTTATTAAACACGAAAGGGGGGAAAACCTTTTAGAGCTTCTGGTCCAAAGAATCGATTGCTTGCGACTCAGTAACCAGTTTCTGCTTTCAATTTTACTCTCTTTATTTTTACCAACAACTAGATTTTCTACAGGAAGTTTGGAGACTGGCCATTAGGCATTTTCCATTTTCACTGCTCCATCATTCTATGCGCACTTTCACATGCATCTGCAAAGATGGAGCCAAATCTTCCTGTCCCGACAACTTGGACATCGTCAATTGGCCAAGCAAAGTGCTCACTTTTGGTCAATTTCTTTCCCCTCCCTGCTGAAGCAATTTAATCGAACATCTTCGGCAGAGTTTTTGCCTCACATTTGCCTTACTTTCTAATGTTGACAGTATATTTTCATGTCCCCCCGGAGGAACTCCTCGAGCGATCGCCGCCGAGACCGTCTTTCTTTTGGGGCTGCTCTTGTGCGGTTTCCAGGTAATTGCGTGAAGTGTATCAGAAGCAAACAACGTGTCTGGAATTCTTTATTACTATCTGTTGACTCAAGTATTTTGCGTTTTTATAGCTGTCTCTGCCAAAAGAAATATAACCACAAGAAATGAAAACTAAACAGAAACTTCGGGTGCCGAAGGGTTAACCACTCTTTTGTAAAAAAAATGTTCTGCTGTGAGCGCTAATGAATGGGAAATTTTATGACGAATTTCGCAAAGACTAAATATTTTATAAATTACTTATGACTATGATTTTTTGCGATAATTGGTAAACAAATATAAACATTCGAGCTTTGGATGCCTTTCGATTGAAAGTTTTCTAACGGGGATATTTCGCTATTTACTAAGTTTATTATGTGGGAAAATATAGATAAACTTAGCTCTAAATTAAAAAGATGTCACAGTTTCCAAAACTATAAGCGCCATCAGAAATGATAAAAAATCAAGCTCTGAACTACAAATTAGTGGTCACAGTATCCAAAACTAGTTAGCAAACAACCGGGAATAGACGAAATGCCCTCAGAAAGGGTAGAAAAGCACGAAATATAAACAAAATCTTGAATTGGGGACAGTCGTTTACCGCTAAGTGCAGACCAGCGCCTGAAAGCTCTGCCCGGGTCACCCTGTTTTTGCTCCGATTCTTGGCTGAATGTGGGGCCTTCGTTCGCCTGACCCGACCCAAAGCTTCCGAACTTGGTGCTCTCCAATGCCCCATTGTTACGGCACTCGCACGCTCTCGCCGTCCATCGCGATCCATCCCCGCTCCACTCCGCTCTTACCCCGATCCCCCGGCCTTTTCCGATCCGGCGGTATCAGTCTCCGTCTCCGGTCTCCGTTTCAGTCGCAGTCGAGCTATCAAACTCTTACGAGCTCCATTAGCGCGCGGTTCGGTTCGGTTCGGTTCGGTACGGTATTGTTATTCCACATTGTTATCGAAGCCAAGAAAGAAGCTGAGTAGTAATGTGTGATTGATCGCTGGCAGTGCTGCAACTTGCAATTGAGTCGAGAAATAATTAGAAAAGTAAAAGTGGAAAAGCTGAAAAGTGAAAAATGTGGCCAGTGGTCGGTGAGTCCCAGCGGCTTCTGCCCGGGAAAGTGCACAACGGATTCGTATTCGGATTCGGATTCGCCACTCGGAAAGCATAGATAAAATGATAATACGCCTAGGCTGATTTGTGTATGAAAGCGTCAAAGATAATGCCCAGTGTCGGTCTATTCCTTACATAACATATGAATTGGTCTATATTAGCATACAAATGAAAAGAGTGAAACACCGAAACTAATTGATTTAAAGCTCCATTAATTGAGCACTTTGGATGCAAATATTGGATTTGGATATAACACAACGGGCGCAGTAAACGGCCTCAAAATGTAAGTTTTCTCGAACAAAAGGGGGTGATAAGGCAATTGCACATAAAGAATTTCTGCCATTGATAAGTGAGTGGACTTATCGGCAGTTTTCTTGGAAAAACAATAATTTCTTATTGTTGAATGTGCACATCACACGATTCTTTTAAGAGCTGGTTGCCCTGCTGTTATTACACTTCTCGAACTGCTTGATTTCTGTTTTTTCTTCTCCCTTCTTTGCCAATTTACGGCTTTGGTTGCCGTGCAGTTAGAAAGCTGCCAAAAGCAAATAAAGGTCGGGCTTTACTCTCTTTGAAAGTTGTTTATCCGACGGATCGGGGGGAGGGGCAGAAAAGTGAAAGACTATTGATTAGCATCGTGATGAATCTGGGTTCTTTGAGTATCCATAACTTATTTTTCCCTTGCCGCATATATGTACTCTCTATATAAAATATTTTCAATATAAGTAACATAAATATTAATAATAAAAATGATTTTGAAAAAAAATATTCCAATGTTTTATTTAATTATGTAACTGTAATGATTTCCAATACTTCGCAAAAATAAATGTACTGATAATATAAGCAAGCATGTTTTGCTTTGTTTGAAAATAACTTATTTTTAATTTGTATAATATTTTCATAATCTTTAACTTTTCAGTTTATGTAAACAGATAAAAACACAATTGTTTTTTTCGATTTACGGCCCGCGCTCTTTTATTTCCGTTGAGGTTTCTTATCTTTTTGCGTATATTGAACAAGCTATGAAATTATTGGATATTCACATATAGAGACAAATTTTGTATATAAGTGAGTTTTCTAGAAGAAATGTGTATGGTTATCAATGATTGCTTTCCATCACTCATTTTTTAGCAATTTCGGTTATATGAATTTTTATTTTAAATAAAGGTTTACAAATCGAATCGATCATAATTTATTTTTCTGTGTGTTCGTGTCATTTGCTCACTCCCAACTTACGCATGTTTGTTTAGCCCAGAGCCGAGCCTTTGCTTACCTACGGATTTCATTGTTGCACTACCAGTTTCCATTTCATTGCGACTCCGAGTCGTAGTCACCGTTACAATTACCACGATTTCTTCCGGCCTCATTACAAGCAAACACACACAGTTCACACACACGATTGTGACGAGTGTAATTCTGCAATGTCTGGTGAGTTGATTTGAGTGGACTGGAGTGGAGTGGAGTTGCCTGGTCATGGCTTCCGTTTCGGTTTTGTCGTCAAAGAAGAAATCACCATAATAACTCTGTTAGTTATGCAGTCGGCAAATTATACCCAAAGATTATAGCGCAAACGGGGGGGCTAACCACTTTCCATTTTCATTCACATGATCTCAGAGGGGTAACCATCTTGAGATCAGCTTCTTTGCATAATAATTGTCAGATGTCTAAGTACTGGCCGTATAATTTAGAGCCCACGCCCACGACGACCGCACACGAAATTGAGCTGCGTGGGCGTATTTGTGAATTTGTATCTCGTAAATACAAATAGATACTCGGATACTCGTAATTGTAATTCGTAGGTGCAGTAAACAGGCGCTGACAACCCTGGTCGGAATTAGCCAAAGTCTGGGGGACTTTTCCCTGGCATTCCTCTGCTTCAGCCCATGAGTCATGGCCCAAAAGCGAAACTGATGCTGGACAAAAACCTGTAGACAGAGCTGCACAAAATTCCTCTTACTCAAGTGGTCAGTGGATACACTGAAAAAATGTTTTACTATTTAAGTCGTTCTTTTTATAGCACAATTGAAAATACATGTATATTTATTGAAGAAAAATTTTATGCGATCATATAAACATTAGTAAATGTTTTTTTTTTTTATGATATTATATTCAGTATTTTTTGTTAATTGAAATATATAATTAGTTTTATGTTCGGTTTAAATAATTAAAAAAATATATATATTACATTTTTCTTAAACAAAACCAAATTGTTTATCTTTTTTCTCTGTGGAGAAATATCTTTGGGCCAGTTGCTCGGCGAATGCATTCGACGTGCCAGCCATTGAACTTTGTACGTAAGCTTGGGCATCAGCAGTTATCGGTGCAAAAAAATGCATACAAATAAATAATGAAGTTTAACAAAACAACAATAGGAGAAACAAACGCGTCATCACTGGCATACTTGGTGACATTTTCAATGTGAAAACTGCACCGTAAATTATGTTGACTTAATCGATCGATCGATCGCCGATCAAAGCTGCGAATGCCAATGAAGCTGTCAGCTTCAGCAGCAGGTTCTTCTCGGGGCTTGCCAGTATTTTTTGGCTCGTGAAATTCCCCTAATTAATATGCACTCGGCATTTGGCCATAATCGCAGGTCGTGAGACAATCATTTCACATTCAACCTCTTTTTCGTGGCATGTCAAGCATTCTATATAGTCCATTGCTAAATAAACTGTGTCACCCAAATGTGTGGGCGATTATTTGAAGGTGCTGAAGTACAGCTTAGACGATACAAAGATTCAACGTAAACTTTGGCCTAGAGAGTTCGTTGATCGAAGCAAATCATTGATGAGACATCGCCTGTCCATGAATAAGTGCTCAAAACTGGTTAGCAGATGGAAAGAAAGAAGTCACGAAGCATTTCCAATAATGAGCTAAAACCGCAAAAGAAGCTTTCAAAATTTACATTTTTTATACTTATTTAAGGGAAACTTAGTGATGTTCACTGAAAAAAAATGTAGACTATAATATTTATTTAGATAAAAAAAAAAAAAGTATAAAAGTATAAAGTATAAAAGTATAAAAGTTTTTTTTTAAATTGAATGTTTTTTAGGATTGATTTTTATGTCTAAGTCTAGTCTAATAGTTCTTGATTTTAAATGTATAATTTTAAAAAAGCTTCATAACTTAAGTACCGATAAACGACATATACAATAATTATGTTAGCGACCTGATTGGTATAAATTGGTATAGGTATTTAACCCAAATGATGAGCATACTTCCTTTTAAGCTGATTCATTTAGCCACAAATTTGCCTTCTTTCCCCTCGCAGTTGGTTCTGTACTTTTTTCTCGATATGGGGACTTTTGGTTTTCAATGATTAAACACGATTCCAAGCAAGCGGCCACGATCAGCGACCACCGTTCGTACGTGGTTGCGATTTAATTCTGAACAAATCACGTTTGGGGGCTGAGATGGGGACTCGAAAACCCGAAGCCCCCTGCCAAGGCCAACTAAGCCGGCTTTAATCTTGAAAGTCGTATTTTTCACTAGACTTTTCCATTAGATTTACCATCCGTTTCGCTTCGCAGGGCGGTTGACAACAAAAAAAAGTGGCATGCAACAGGCGACACTTGATGACAGTTGGAAAGTGCCTTTAATTTATTTTCTACGCCCAGATTTCATCTCAGCTCTGCTCTGCTCTGCTCTCTCACACTTAGTAGTTGTACAATAAATTAAATAGACCAAACAAAAAGAAGTTGGGATTTTTCTTACGCTATAGTTTCGTCAGCTCAAATGGTAACGATAATTAAAGTTTTGCATTACCGCAGCTGTCGGTGATTAATGGGCATTGTTTCGCATACGCCCCGTTGCCCCACCACCGAAACCCAGCCCAAAACCGCCCCTTAAAAACCAGAAATTAAAATGAAAACGAAATCAGCCGAAGGAAAATCAGCCACTTAATGCAAATTACAGAGACAGATACAAAGATGCAAAGATACAGATGCGAAGATACGGCGGCCAACAAGTGTCTGCTGTGGAAATGAAGTTGCCACATGTGGCAACCGAACAACCGGGTGCCCCAGCCTCATAAACAGTCCCAGATGATGATCAGGCCCATCATAATGACGATGATCCATCCACTCAAGTACAAAGCGGTTGCGCTGACAAGCCCATGTATGGGCGTTGGGGTTTTTTTTGTTTCGTTTCGTTTCGTTTTTTAATGTATCTCTTCGCTTGCTGTTTTTCGCATTGCATTGAATGGATATGAAATGAAAAGGAAAATGAAAACCAGGTTTGCAGGTCGCTCAGATTTTTAAGTTTTTCGTGTGCGCCGAAACTTTGCGAAATTCAAAAATTCCTTTTAACTCTGTGCCACTTCCACGGTGGGTTTCTTAACCCTCTCAATTTACCCATGGGTTACCAAATAGTCGCTTTAAGATATTTTTTAGTTTTCTTCTAAGCGGAAGATATTTTGTAGTCTACCTGAAGACTTGAATATGGATTTCAATAATAGAGGCCGGTTTTTTTGTTTAAATACTGCTTTAAATAATATATAATTTAAATTTTTTTAATTTATCTTCTCGATGTGAGTAATTTTCGCGTTTCCACAAAATGTCATCAAGTGAGTAATAGTATAAACACTAATTTAAAAGGAATTTTTTATACAACTTAAAATTTGATCTTGCAACTGAATAAAAGATAATTGTATTTTAAGAGTGGGATTTTTAATCATTTTGCTATATTTAAAATATAACTTTTAATTAGCCAACAAAGGGTTAAAATGTTATTGTCTTTTAACAGCGACAAATGGTCACCTCAAAGCAGGCCATCCCACTAACTCGTCCGTAACAGCCGTTAAATATTTGATTTGTTTTGGAACAGCCGCGCACTGCTTTTGTTTTGTATTTTGTATTTTGTTTATTTGCTTTTGTTTACTTTTTTGCGTTTACTTGCCTGTGTTTCTGTTTTTGTGCCGTCTCTTTTCGACTGCGCTGAACTTGGACAAGAACTGGTATTGAATTTCCCAACTTAAACCAGTTTCGTTAACAGCGGCTTAACAGATTCGTGCCGATTGATGGGCATTGATTAAAATATATTTCGGGGATTGCAATCTTCGTAGAATCATTGGTTCTTCGGGTGGCTAGAAAACCAGTTTCCGCTTCCCAGGCGCCTCGAGAAGTGATTTAGACTCTCTGCCGACATGCCAATCCCTGAATTAATGTAGCTGCCAAATCAATTAGAGGCGCTGCGACTTAATTAAAATTCGTTTGGCTAATTAAAAGGCCACCACAGCCAGTGTGAACGAACGCGCACAAGCGATTCTTTGTGGCTGTTCCG